GTTGGCATAAAACAATCACAGTCCACAAAATGTTCCGCTTGGTGGGAAATTGAAAAGCTGTGGCAAGGTGAAGTTGCTAGAGTCCTGCCAGCATCAAATGATCACAATAGTCAACCTGACAGATTAATTCGTAGATACAACCACCCTGCTCCTTGAAAGTGGAGAACAATTCAGGTGTGCAGTGCATGAGGGAAAAGAACCAGAGGAATGTATGAAAGTTTGGAAAGATTAAAGAGGTGCACCTCATTGCTTTTAGAAATTTTGCTCTTGGAAGTTTTTTTCTGAATGCTTCAACTCTAAGCGATTCTTCCCGCAGTTTCTAAAAATATGAATATCCATCGCAAAAACACTCACGGAGATTGCAAAACTAAAAAGCACAAACACATCTTTGCCCTGACGTGGTAATTTTGTAACACACAACTTTAAAAAGATTGTTGTGTTTCTTTTGATGTTGATTACAGTCCATCCATCCATTTTCTAATCCGCTTACACTCACGAGGGTCTCGGCCATGCTTGAGCTTTTCCCAGCTCTCTCCGGGCAGTAGGCGGGAGACACCCTGAATTGATTGCCAGCCAATCGCAGTAATGTTTACAGTAAATACATTAAATACCTTGAATAAATAATACTTGAAATGAGGATCACTGTGTGTGTTTACTGAACAATGACTTCAGTATTACTTCAACTTGCCAACCTTGTGCACAGAGAAAGCAAAAGCCTGACGTTCCTCTCCCCCCCCCCATTCTTCCCATCAATGTCGTTGGCACTTGTGTGGTCACTCAGATGAAGGCTTATGTTCATTGTTTGAAACAAAAATACAGTTTTTAGTTCAGAAGAACGAAGCAAGACTTATTTGCTTTGCCAAGAGAACTGGGTTTTTTTTTTAAATTTGGTGAAAGTTTTGTTTTTTTTTTAGTTTGTGTGAAGATTTTTGCAAAAATAGCCAATACAGTAGTTACAAATAAAAAATTAAGACAGAAAAAAAATCACTCTGTAGATACTCCCTAACTACTGTGTCAAGTGTGACATCTTGTGGTGAAATTAAGAATAATGATTTGGTTGAGCATTGAACTAAAAACAAACAGACGAGTCAAATTCCACGGAGATTCGCGGTGCTGTCATAGAGAACAATGGATACTGACACACACTCTTCTTCAAATCTTGTTAAGATCACATCAAATTATCATAATTTCAAAAATTTCACTCTCAGTGGTTTCCAGCAGCATTATGCATTTGCTTTAACATTTTCTTTTAGATTTCAGAACCCCCATGAAACACCGTGATGCCTCCATAGCACCGCAGAAGTCACATACATTTTTTTGCACTACTACTCAAAAGGAAAATGATACAATGGATCCTCTAAATGCCCCTAAAGAAGCACGATGTCACGAGAAATCTCGCAAGATCTCACTTTACCAAGAATCCAACAATGAACTCTGGGCACATGAGGGCATATTCTCCATGGTGCTTAAATCAGAAAAGGGGCACTGCTTGGCACTTTTGGGGCTGCGCAGATTCTCCCATCGATTTGATGGGTGTCGGTTCCGTACCTTCATGAAATGTAAGCACTCTGGGTGGAGCGACATTCAAATAAATGCATTCCCTGTCAAATCTCGCGGTGCGCCTATTGTCCCAAAACTTCAGCACCTTTCCTCTTGTGCACTCAGGAGGCTGTACGGAGGATTAGCGCCTCTTGAAGGTGAAACATCACGTCATCACGCCTTTTAATTGCGTGACATCTGCGTGACAGAACGACTGCCGACTTGTGCTGCTTGGTAGCTTGCAGATCTACTGGAGGCGCAGTTCACAACAACTGCATTTATTCTATCGGTGGCAATAGAGCACTAGATGTGGAATTGTTTGTTTTAGATATATGCCGGTCGTGAATTCCATAAAAAATGCCGCCTGGGCATGTGCGACAGGAAGCGTTGCTCGTAACGGCTCACTTGGTTTTCAACAATGGAGCAGCTCCAAATTTACATTCGGTCATGAGAACAGTTCGCGGATTAAATTACTTTGTATTTATGAAATACAGAATACAAATTGATGTGCTTCTTCAAATTAGCCCGTTAGATGAGCCGCGCACGTCACGAACAGTTTTCTGTGGAATTGAAGTTTATAATTGAGGGTAAACTGCTTCCCACGGTTGTCCTAAATGCCACTGCCTTCTTTTCCGGGTTCTCCCACCACCACGCGACGGAACGGGAACGACGCCTCTGATTTGAAGAAAGAAAGAAAGACCACTCCGCCTCTCATTTGCTGCGAAAAACGTCAGTCAAATTAAACGCATACTAATTGGTTCCACGAAAAAAACGATTAAAGGTGGACCTTCTCAGGAATTAAGGAAACTCCCCTGCATGGCCGGATTGGGTGTAAAAAAAAAAAGTGGACTGTGCGTGAAAAAGACAAGTTTGGCCCTAATATTTTCCAAATGGATCACTACGGAATTCACATGTCTCTGCTAAACTCCACAATTCATGATTTAGCAGGTATTCTCGAATTTTACTTAATGGGTCCCACCTCTTCAGTGACCCCGCAAGTTTTCACCACTTAGGTTAAGCAAGTGTTTGTCAGAGGCCTAGACCAGGGGTGTCCAAACTCGGCCGCTGTCCTGCCTGTTTTGCAGCTGTCCGAGGAGCAACACACCTCATTCAAATAATCAGGACCTTCCTAATGCTGCTTCAGGGCTGGCTGATGAGTTAATCGTCTGAATCAGATGTGTTGCAGCCGGGAGAGCTGGAAAACAGGCATGACAGAGGCCCTCCAGCTCTGGAGCTGAACATGCCTGCCCTCGACGGAAGAATCACAGCGCATGAGAAAGACACGCAAGGAATTGATTTGAATGTGAACGGTAGAACATGCCCCATAGTTATTTTCTCAGCCCACCTACGAATTAGTCAAGCAAGCCCAATTATAAAACCGTCAGAGACAAAAAAATCCTATGGCCTTGCCTGGAAATGTAGCACACTTCGGGTGGTAAGAGAAACCATTTGAGATGCTGCGGGAAAAAATGGGCCACATTTGTCAGAAATTATTTATTAATTATTAATACATGAGTTCATCTGTCTATGCGACAGACTGTAAGGCAAAACAACGCCTTGCCTGTCGATTAATAGGCAGAAGTTTACCAAAAAAAAAAAAAAAAAACTACATATCCACCCATTGCAATTAATACAACAGAGTAAATCATGGCTTCCTGCAAGTATAATCAGCTTTGGCTGAGTCCTCCGAAGGCCACATTTTCGGCTAAATGACGTCTTCCGGTGCGACTCGATCACTTGGTGTCCAAATGCTCAGTAAGCCTGTCCAAATTCGCCACGATGTATGCGGTCCACAGAGTCTACATGAGGAGGAGCCTTTGGAAGCGTCTAACGACCCAGCCTGCGAATTGTCTAAATTTGGAAACCACGTGTGCTCAAGTCGCGCCGAATGACACGTCTTGCTGCCTGAAATACAATCCAGCCTTTGGAGAAAACAGATTTTGAATTTGGACACAGCTTTTGTGTTCAACGGAAAAATATGCACGCACAATTTCCGCATTTGGGCAACGAATGCGTGCTAACTTCCGGTCAGTAGTCTCGAACGCATAGCGACAGCATCAAATTCTTTAAAATATCTTCCCAATCTGTGTAAATGACATCAAATTACTATAAATTACGTATAACCTTATTTGATCCAGTTAAGCAAGTGTCAATGAAGCAATCATAGCATCGTATCTTATTTAATGAGCCATTTACTGTATCACAGTACATGCAGGTCCGTGTGAACAGAGACTTGCCTTGCTTATTTTGACATGCTCAACCCAGCTGTTTAGAAGACAGCAAAAAAAACAACCACAAAATTGAATACATTCTTTATTGTCACCTTCGATGGTGTAGGTCAGAGATGGCCAACCAGTCAGAGACTAAGAGACAACTTTTTTACTGTGTTCCTACAAAGAGCCACATCATTCATGTGGGCACACATAAACATCACCCCATCCCTTCCTCTAACACACACACACACACACACACACACACACACATCTGCTCAGACAGATTTATTGTCAATGTCACACACCAACATGATAATGACAGAAATTGACTCCTACAGTACTAAGACCACAGGCCAGTCATTTTCAACAATGAATATTGTGTGCACTGTTTCACACACACAAACTCTCAGTTCACCAAGTCCACAAACAAAAATATAATAACGTTTTTCTCTAACAATGTATGTTGCTTAGCGCCTTAGTGCAGGGACTTCTGGTATTCCTTCTCTTGAACAATCCTCTTCAAATTTGACTTGTATTCCGTTGTTGCCACTCGAAGCAGGCACTGTCTGCATGTGAGCCAAAGCTGTTACTTACTACTTGGGTCAGCTTGCCACATAGGGCAAACCTTTTTGACCGAAGATCGACTTTTGAAGCGACCAATCCCATGATCGACCCGATTGCGCACGTGCAAGCATATACATGTATGCACGCACGCAAGTGGGCGCCCAACCATGCACACGCGCACATATGAGCGCACGCACGCCCCGATGAGCAACAGCCGGAACGGTCCCTAAAATGAACGAAACCGAAACACACTGACGCACAAATCCCCCAATTCCTCCTCCCACCCCTCGCGGTTGACTTGGGGCCAGTCCGCTGGCCGATTGCGATTGACGAATTGGGCACCCCTGCCTTAAAATCAGAGGTAATTCGCTGACTAGCTTAGCGCCGCTGTTTGCGCATGAGCGGTGAGCTATAGGTCAAAATTCAGTTGTCATTTGACTGGTTGACCTGACATTTAAATGGCAGCGCCACCGCCGAGGCGTTTTCGACTTTTGTCATGTGAAAGCCTGGGATCCGCATTGAACCAGCCAAAGAGACGCATGCGGCTTGCGAGCTGCGGGTTGGCCACCACTGCCCTAGTGAGCCGAGCAAGAAAGAGAAAGCCGGAATGACAACCTTTGTCGATTTTAGGTTATTTTCCCTCCAGATGGCATCCCGGTGGGTTGGAATAAATGGAAGCCAAAAGCTCCGACGCCTCGTTATTTTCACCTGGAAATATGTCATTACCTGCCATACATAGAGTTCACATTTGATAACTCAAGATTGTGGGGTTGTGAACAAAATCAGAATTACTGCAGTATACAGAGTTTTTATGACATTCTTATTTGATGGAGTACACTGAGATTGTTACTATGTAAAAGCGGTGCCTTTCGTCAATAAGGCCACGAAACACAGCAGTATAGTGGTTTGTTTGTGTTGATCAGACAGCTATGCCATCTAGTGGTGTGATTAGGTAAAACGTCTACCCTGACAACACATCACGCAATGTGTGCAAATTCCAACTAAAATGTCTTTCTCGGGGCGGCACGGTGGTCAATTGGTTCGCACGTCCACCTCACATTGCAGAGGTTGTAGACTGATTCCAGGCTCCGGCCTTCCTGTATGGAGTTTGTATGTTTGCCTCGCATTACTGTACCTTGGCATCTACGCTGACTGAGGAAACAGTTCGGTCTGATTCAGTATGCAGAAGCGCTTTTACACAAGATGTGATGTCGGTGCCAGTTGTTGTCTTGTAGAAAGATGAAAGGAAAACAGATTTATTGTTCAAACCAACGTGAACCAATGCCTCACAAGAAACAATGTTTCTAAGTTACACCAGCAGATGGAGACACAGAATTTCTGGATAATGGCAAAATCTAATGTACATTACTGTTCTCGATGCTCACTGGCAATAATGGGCATACGATAATTTCAAATACAAATCTGAGTTTAAAAGAATTAATGAGTTTTTTCTTGACAGTGTCAGAAAAATCCATACAAAGTTCAACATAAATGAGTACATCTCAAAACATATTTTAGAATACCTCAGAACTCAGAAAATAGGTAAACCATGATTGATCGTTACCTGAGCCCTGAACAAATGTGATGTCATTTTCATTCAACAGCAAGTGGCAAAATGGCTGTCCCATGAGATGGATCAAAACAGGTGTAATTTGCTGCTTAATTCATATTACACAAACGCATATTTAAATTAGAATACCGTGTTTAGACTAGTGGGGCCGCATAGAATTTATTGTGCAAAACATTTCTGAGCTGACTTTCCCTTTAACAATAATACAACCATCCATTTTCTGTTTGGCTAATTAGGGTCACGGGTGTGCTGTAGCTATCCCACCCAGTCATCTATGACTAAATCAGCAAATCCAGCCTGTTGAACAAACCACGTTTCTCCTCAAAGCAAAAAAAAATAAATAAAAGTAAGGTATGTCTGGGTTTACTATTAAGACCTAAAAGAATAAAAACAAAAGTTTGTTCGTACCTTAACAACGTGGAGGTCACTCCCCTGAGGAGAACGACTACAATTTAAAGAGTCTGAGATGCTGCAGCTTCCACTTGAAATTTCACAGGAGCTGAAAGAACAGAACATTTAACTTTCTCTGCAGTGGTGAGACATCTCAAAATAATAGATAAACGGGAGAGTAAATATTTACTAAATCCAAATACCTGAGTAGAGAGATTGTCTCAGTGTTATCATCAATGTCACTCTTTGGCCTGAACTTTGATGGATTATCTTGTGGAAGAAAGAACACAGGAAAATTTGTTTTGCAAAAGGAGATCAAAGCCAACTTTGAACATCATCAGTCTAGCCGTGCCACTCATTCTATACAATCACTGTGGACTTGTATTGGACATGATTAGACTGCCAATAAACTTCATCCACCTTGCCCCCAATGCGACTCACACTGGTGTGCGGCTGTTGTTCGTGAATGTTTGGTGATGGTCTGAGGGGCCGTAGGTACACACTTGTACCCACTCTTTCGTCAGCCTGCCCCAGGGCATCTGTGGCTACATATGTAGTTTAATGTGTGAGTGCATGAATAATGTGTCCACTGTGAGAGCTTTGAGTGCCCACTGTGCAGAAAAGCGGCATATAAATCTAATGCATTATTATGATTATGATTATCATTATCATGATCCCAGTGTGGGACAAATAAAGGTTATCTTATGATTAACTGGTCGCCAGTCAATCGTGGAGGATTCAATTTGTAAAATTTGCAGGTCTGGGTAGCTAAATTTTATTTTTCTGAGAATAAACCAACAGATTTAAAGAATTTTAGAAACGAAATCCTCACATAATGATAAATCCCATATTCCTATAGTGCAGTGCTTCTCAATTATTTTCTGTCATGCCTAGGAAAAAGAAAACATCTCGCCCCTGCACAACTAAAAATAGTATCACTTGTCTATAAAATTGTTATAAGTACACCTCTGCATAACACTGTATCCTTATTAACGTATAAGAGAATAAAATCGAAAGAAATATGGACCAACTTACAACAAAGAATAGCTTTATTAACTGTAACAGAAAAGATTTAAAGTGCATCTGAAATTCAAGAATAAAATTCAATTCTTAATTAAACTTTAAACATTTTTTGACCGACCATGTTCAAACCATACAATACTGAAAAATACAATTACATAAAATCAATAAATAATAATGCATTCAAACTGATCACCAACATTAACTCAGGAGCACAATATAAAAAAAACCCTATAACCTGCAAAACAAAATATATAAAATAATTTGTGCTGATTTTTTTTAATCAAAGATGATGTCTGGATTAAGAGAGGCACTGCTATAGCGAGACTTACTGGTCAAGTCAAATTTCAATAGAAGAGTGCAAATGCTACTTTTACAAATATACTAATGTTTGATTGAGACTGCTCTGGAAAATAAGTGGTGCAGTTCTACATCTCTAAAAACCAAACTGCTGATAAGATAAACAAAATAAACGAAGCAACAACAACTACAACTGCTGATAAATCAAAAGTCAAAAAAATAACTATTGCAATTAAAATATCTGGGTGGCACAGTTGCCCATTGGTTAGCACGTCTGCCTCAGAGCGCAGAGGTCATGGTTTCGATTCTGGGCTCTAGCCTTCCTGTGTGGAGTTTGCATGTTCTTCCTGTGGTTTTCTCTGTACTTCGATTTCCTCCCACATTCCAAAGACATGCATGGCAAGTTAATGGAACACTCTAAATTGTGCCTGGGTGTGATTGGTTGTGTTGAGCATGAATGGTTGTTCGTCTAAATGCGCCCTGTGATTGGCTGACAACCAGTTCAGGGTCTATCCCGCCTACTACAGCTGGGATGGGCTCCAGCACACCCACGACCCTTGTGAGGATAAGAAAAGGGATGGATGGACAATACCTTTGATATAAAGTAGTGTCATTCAAAAAAATGATCACTACCATCTTTGTGAAGACAGAATTTTGAATACTGTACAGCTCTTGCATCAATCACCGAGTTCATGATACAGGTGAACCTAATGACGTGTCTACAGTAGAGCCAAATCACCAGAATTACTCCAGTCCAATGCAATTAAAAAAACACAGTGACATATAAAACAATTATTACCTGATGTAAATGACTCCTCGAGTTGCAGCATTTGAGCCATTTGTTGAGTCGTTTTATTTTGCGTCTTTTCTTCTTCATTCTCCTTTTGGGGCTCTGCCAACGTCCCGGCTGATCCCTGACTCTTCCTCACAACTCCACAGACTGCAGTGCGTGTCTCTGTGCCGATATCTGGTATGCTTATGTTTTTTGTCCGTGATGAGGTTGACTTCTCCAAAGTCCTTATTTAATGGAAGCATGTGCATTGAACACTCTTTAGGTCAACATCATTGCAATTCTGTATGCATGTTAATTAGTAAATATATTATCAATCATTGAAAAGCACGAAGGAAACATGTTCAGAAATAATCTCACGTTACAAACCCCTGAACAGGTGAAACACCACTGCTTCTGCCATTTTTTCTCTCGACAAACTCTTCGTCATCATCATACTCCTCTACTTCCTCTAAGTCATCTTCCTTATTTTGTTCTTGTGTCCAAAATTGGTGCCTGAGTAAGTCTGGCCACTTAATCCTGAAGAACAAAACAACACATGTTCAACTACAGGGTGATCAAAACGTGCAATGACATTCCAAATTTAACTTGAACAATTTGATTCGTTAAGCCTTCCATCATGTACAGTATGTTGGTGGGTCCTGTCTGACCTCTCAGCATGGTTTTTCGTGAGTAAAGCTCGAAGAAGATTTTGGAAACCTTCACTGGGAAGACTGAATGGAAACACTGTATGAACAGTACAAGTGAAACATTATAAAAATATTCCTTTTTAAAAATAAGGAGTCAAGATCTTCTTTCAATTTTCCAAGCAATAATTGATGTATACAATACCTGTCTGCACGGGTGATGAAGGTTCCTGATGTAAAATCATTCCAGTAAGTTCATCGTGGTTAGTAGAGAAAAATGGTGGCTTAGCTACAACAACAATTTTTTCTCTCTTTTTTTTTTTTTATTAGTCTTGAAAGACCGTGCTATTTAGCCGACGCAGGGTTTGGGTAAATACAGATTACACAGTATAAAGAAAATGACATTTTACGTTTGTGTGTACCATACCAGTGTACATGTAGTAGAGAATACAACCAAGAGCCCAGAGATCCGAGGTGAAAGTCGTTTCTGATCCCTGTAGGACTTCTGGAGCCATGTAACGTGCTGAGCCTGAAAATATATACATAGTCCTATTAATTGATTATGTGCATCAGATAACAGTAAGAGAAGGAATAATACAACAACTCTGACCTTGAAACCTTTTTTTAATATCATGTTGATAGTTTTCCTCTGCATCTTCACATGAAGAACACAATGACAAGAAATCTTCAAGGGTTTCCCTCTCTGTCTTGGAGTGACTGAGGTTACTTAACTTTAAAGTACCACTACTATCCAGCAGGATCTATTAAATGAAAGATGGCAGTTTACACACGCACGCACGCACGCACGCACGCACACACACACACGCACGCACACACACACACACCCACACACACACACATATATATATATATATATATATATATATATATGTGTGTGTGTGTGGGTGTGTGCGTGTGCGTGTGCGTGTGTGTGGCATTATGGTGGAGACATGTACAAATAAACCTTAGTTGGGGTCAGGTCAGAGAAAATGATTCCGAATTTGTGGATATGTTCCAGTCCTTTGACCAAGTCCCATCCAAACTTCCTAACCACATCTTCAGGCAGACATCCATCACGAACAATTACAGACTCCAAGGAACCACCTAACACAGAAAGAGAGAGAGAGAGAGAGAGAGAGCGAGAGAGAGAGAGAGAGAGAGAGAGAGAGAGAGAGAGAGAGAGAGAGAGAGAGAGAGAGAGC